AAAGTCTCTGACGCGCTCAAAATTCGTGTAGCACACGTATTGTGCTTAGTCAACAAAAAGTGTCAAAATGAAACAGCGAGACCCTACATGAGGTGTCTAAAATAAACATCGCCCACTTGAGGTACCTAAGTGAAACTTCGTGCCAAGTTTAGGGGGTCACCGATGGGTTAGGCCTATAGAACCCACCCAACCATCTTCCCTGGTCATCACGTGCGACCCCTCCAAACCCCGCCAACAATTAGGCATGAAGCTGCCATCAGTGTTAATCTTGATACATCCTTCGGGCGGAAAAACCCAACTAATGAAAATAAGTTCTGTATCGATCACTCAATTTTCTGTTGATTGAAATGAATGATATTCAACTCTTGGAATTGGAAAAAAATATGAATTTTGACAATAAACCGGATGAACGTATGTTGACATTGTTTTTGTAGTATCTAAAATTGCACTTAATAACACTAAGACCAAAAGTATAAAAAAAAAAACGTGAGAAAAGTGAGAACTAATGATAAAACTAAGAGCACATATATATAAATCTCAATTTGTAATAGGATTCAATTAATTAGCCTTTTCAAAAAAAGGAAACTAATAAAAAAACTTATTAATCCTACGTCATGCCGGATTCAATTTAATTAGCCAGGTATGGAAAGTTAGAAAAAGGAAGGTTTATATTAAGTACACCATTATATGCGAGTACATTTTCATCTATCTAAAACAATCTTCCACACCTCAAAATACATGTGGTGGCTAGATATACGCTTTCTGAGTAGGGATGGCATGAGGTGGTACGGGGTGGGGGTGAGGCGGGTTGAGCTTAATCCGCAAAAATTTTAATCCGCCCCTTATAATAATTTTTTTCATTTTCAATCCGATCCACCCCGCCCCGCATAACTTTTTAAATATTTTCTTTTTCTAGTTAAGTTTGATACTAAAAATAAAATTCATAAAAATAAATTCTTTCTTTCATTAAGTTGTACTAATTTAATAGGATAGTGACTTAAAAATTATTTTTTAGAGGTCAATTGGAAAACATGTAAGAAATTGTATTATTTTTTATTAAATCATTTTCATTTACTATCTTGAATATTTTAGTAGATTTATAGAAGTTATCTTAATAAATAATGTTCTGTCACTCTTATAACATGTAAAAACTTAAAATTAAATTTGAATCCACATAAAATCACATATCCCCGCAACCTGTCCCGCCCCGCCCCGCATTAATTTTAAAAAAGCCCACTTCAACCCACCCTGCATCCCACCCACCCCGCACAACCTTAAACCCGCCCCCCCCGCATCCGCCCCGCCCCATTGTCATCTAATGCTTGCAACTTTTGGTTTGGGGTTATAGTGATGCAGAAGGGATAACGACTCGCTTACCTAACAACAATAATATATTCATTTCAC